GAAAGGCTGAAAACGATGGGAGCAACGGGCAGAAGGCTTGTGGTCCGTTGCGGAACCCCAGTCTGTTAAAATTTTCTAGGAGGATAAGAACTTCGTCTGTTGAAATATTTTCGCCAGAGCAGAGCTACGATATTGTTAGAAAACTTCGAGAGAGGAATAGCTACCAGTTTCTGCTTAAATAGTCGTACGAGGAGGATCTCGAATAAAGGTCATCTCGAATAAATTTTTTTTCGGGAGATGAGTTAATTTTTGTTTTGAAAGTGCAAGTAATAGTAACTCCACGTTTGCTTATTTTTGGGAGCAGCAGATTGAACGATTAAGGTGTTTGAGTGAATCCAGGCGCAACCTCGCTCTGCTACCAATGTTCTTGGAGTGAAGTGTCGGCAGCCGATGTGTGGTTCTCGGGGTGACCACGCTTAGAAGGCGACGTCAGCGAGGTTCATTCGCCAATGTCAGAAGCAGAAGCGTGAGTACTCGTGCTGCCCAAAGCAGAAGCAATAAGCAAACGTGTAAATAAATTTATCGACAAAGCTAGGTCACAAACCAGAAACATTAACAAAACCATTAGTGAGCGATTCAATTCCCTAGAAGCACAAGACAATTGGAAAGAACTATGCCCTCGTTTGTAAATTTCAGGATTGCGTCTCACGATAAATATAAATTAATAATGAGTGAATAAATATTTAATTTTCTGTACAATTAAGAGGATAATTTTATACTAAAGTAATTAAGCTTAAAATTCTTTAGACGTTGCAGCGGTTGGTACGAGTAGCATTGAAGCATACTGTTATTGTGAAGTAAATTTAAAGCAAGTTTAAAGATAATCATTTATTTGGCTGTGGCGTAAGCGTCTAGCGTCACTTGTGGGAACGTGATCTGAGTGCTTACCTGATACTCGTCCTCGTCACGTTATTGTGTATATTTGTTTTGTGTGGAGAATATATGCTTTTCATGTCTCTAGAAACTTTGATCTCATCATTTTGTCGTCAAAATGTCGGATTTGATTTTACAAATCCGTATTTCCAAGTGGAGGAGCATTTGGAATGAAGTCAGATTACACAAACTCGATATGGCTGCGAATGAATCAGCGATAATCCTTCGGGCACTTGAGGTAACGGCTGCGCCGAGCTGCGTTCGTTTGGACCCTCCATCGGAGGTTGAGGACCCTCCGTCGGAAGACTTGTGAAATGACTGGCGCGCCGCGACAGTTTTGACGGAGTGTTCGGTTGCATTTATTGGCGCCCAACGAGGGGCTCGAAAAGGAGGACAATTTGCACGCGTGTTGGAAGCTTTCACGCGAAGAATTTTGCAGGCGATTTAATATTTTGTTTCAGAAATCCCAATCGTGAAACATTGTGTGAGAACACAAGTTGTGTGAGTACTTGTGCATCAATTAATTAATTATCGAGTGTGAATTGTTGTGAAGCAATTTTTTCGAGTTTTAGATCACATAACCTTCATAAAAGTAAAATTATCGTACTTGTAAAATTTAGTCTACTAGCGCGCCAAAAGGATTTTGCAACTAATGGCAATTATGTAGAGCAACTAATTTGCAACTAATGGCAATTATGTAGAGCACAGACGAATTGCGAAGAAATGTAATGTCTTGTTGGTGTACAGTGTGGTGTTGAAATTTCTTTCAGCAGTGAGTTTGTCTATTAAGTGCATTGTTGTATTGTGATTATTTCAGCATTGTGTATTGTGGCTATGCAAGGTTGTGTTGTGAATCTTTTAGCGGTTTTTCTTTCTGTCAATTAGGGTACTAGGGTAGTTAGTAGTATTAGGGTACTTAGATATTGGGGTGAGTTTTCTTAAATTATTTTTGTAAACGGGTAATAAACGTCTCGCAATGGCGGAGAGATTCATGGAAGCTAGAGATTTAATGGGAGTGGATCCAGAGAGAAGTGGGTCAGAACATGATGTAGAGAAGCGGGATCGCGAAGCGGGACCTAGGCCATGTGAAGAAGGAACTCCGACAGAAACCGCTCGCATGCTCACATACCCAGCCATGTCACCGGGCCTAAAGGACGTTAAATCACCTCTCGTAAATCAGATCGGAAAATGTTAAATTTGATGAGGGCATTGTTAGGTAACTTCAGTACGATCATCTCGAATGAAATTGAAATTGTTCAGAGGCAGAATCAAGAACAAAACCAAGCGTTTGCTGCACAGTTCCAAAAAGTAAAAGAAGAAATACAACAAAATGTCCAGCAAGTACAAGAAAATTTTAAACAAGATATTCAGTTAGTAAAACAAGAAATACGGCAAAACGTTCCGGCATTAGCTGCGGATTTGACTTCAAAAATAAATGCAGTCAATGACAAGGTTGAGACACTTCAGCGCAAGGAGAAAACCTGGGCAGAAGAGTTTAATTATGAATTGGACCGGATGTTGGAAAAACAGGCAGAGAAAATAGAAACCGCACAACCGAAGTCTAAAGAATTGAATAGTAGGTTACATTCTGTTGCCGACTTTGTCCAAGCGCTAACAAGGCGACATGAGGACAAAGTGGTGAAGGAATTATAAGTAATTTCGGATCGGGTCGAAGAAGCCGCGCAAGAACGTTAAGAAATGATGGCGAAACTAAATAACTTGCAAGATACGGTAAAAACTGTGCCTGTCACTGTAGGTTCAGCTCACCCTCTAAATTTTAACGTGCCGTCTTCTTTGAATTTCTCGGGACTGTCGGAAGAACACCCATATTCATTCTTAAAAGCACTAGATAGTTTTACGGTGACAAGTAGATTACCAGAACAATTTAAAACCCATCTCTTGTATCAAATATTTTAAAAAAATGTACGGACGTGGTTGAAAACTCTTGAACCATTTCCTCAAACAATACAAAAGTTTAATGTCTTAAAATGTAATTGGAGCGAGGAAATACAAATTAAAATGAATAACAGCACTACTTAAGTAGCTGAAATAAATCAAGGGGTTCGAAAAAGGTGCTCACTGTAGCCAATTTTTTTCTATGTTTACATACACGAAGTAACCATTATTTGGCAACAAAATAAAAAAAGTTAAAAAGTTTTGGTAACTACATGGGGCGCCCCGAGCGGGCCAGTCTTGCTCTAGGTGCGCAAGGTGTGCGTCTCCGGGGCGGACCGTCGAGGCACCTCTCCGCCTCTGTGACCGGGGCACGGCCCTTGGTGTATCCCGCGAGCTCTGGCGATGGGGCCCGTCGCGTCCTCCGTCTGGAGGTCCCGGGGCCTCGTGTCGCGGTATACATCCGCCACGATCGCACAGGACAGGGCGCTGACGCCAGCCGCGCCCAGCGCCGTCTCCGCGGCAGCGTGGGGACGGAGCCGAACGTGTCGGCGACGTCGAGAAGGGCCAGGCTCAGGTTCTGCGGGACGCTACGGGCGAGATGGAGCTCCCTACCTAAAATATAGTTTTGCTGCATATCGCCATTTTGAACGGCCCGAATCCCATTGCTCCGGCGAAAGGGACAGTGTGACTAAAGTACACATAAAATTATACACAAAAATCCCGATGATATCACATATCCAAAATCTATTGTATTATAGACAGTTGTATTTTTACATTTGAAGTTTGATTTTAATTGTCTCTTTGTTTTCCTTTTAGGGTTTCCTGTACAAAGTCTTTCGAAAAGTAAAATGCAATTACTTTATTTCGCAGACTTTGACGCCTTGTTTTACTTTCCAGTTGTTAAGAATTGTGAACAATGGGCTCTTCAGTTTAGGGTAATTATCTTATATCTGTATATTCTCACATTTGGATTGCTAAGAGGAAATATTGCGAAGCATTTCAAAGTTGACTATGCACAAATCTGTTGTGTGAATTGTTTTGAAAAATGTTAAAACGCTTTGGTTAAATACCCGGCGTTGTCCATAAGCTAATAACGAGCCTCGCCCTATCTCTCTGCGCCGCCAGTACCAGTGCTTCTCAGGTGCATTGCGCGTTGCATTATTTGTACAAACATTTGTAGTACAGAGTAGATCTACTTTTTTAAGGTTGCCATGGTCATAGTAACCAGGGAAGAAAAAGATGAGAGTAGTGTATAAATTAGGAGAAAGAACAGAAATGGTTATACAAGGTTATATGAATGTAGTTTTTTGCAACTACTTTGTTATGATTTATTAAACGAGTACCAATTTGAAAACTCGCTTTTAACATCGTTTGCTTTCAAATTTGTTCGAATGTAATAAAGCAAGATAATAAACTAGTTCCATACGGTATTGTTTGTGTGTAACAAAAATATAAAATTATAAGAGAATAAAACCTAATTTCGTGAAACAACTTTCTCGTAAAAAGGTTGTTTTTAATGCTGATATAAAAAATGTTTTGTAGTCACCATTATCATTATAATCAACAAAAAATGAGCCTTTTGCCCTGTTCCGCCTTTTCTAAAATTGGTGCCGCCATCTTTGCTTCTGTCTTCCCAACGATCCTCTTCCGTTTGGTGTGGAGTTGTTTATACTTTTTGTAATTCTTGTATCTGGCGTACGGTCCACATAGCCATTCCAGTTTTGTTGATACTGTGTACTGGATTCTAAGGTATTCTGGATGTTCAATTCTGTTCTTATATCTTGGTTCCGCTTTTTGTCCATTAGTGTTTAGACAGAAACATATCTTAGGAACCTTAATTCGCTGGCATCAATTCCTCTTCCATCTCTTTTCCATATGGCTAATTTTCGCTGCCGTACTAATGCAAATATTGCCATTACTTTATAAAACATTAAAAGGGTCGCTTTGTTGACATTTCTTCTTCATTTTCTGCGTATTATTTCGTATGTTACATCGCAAGTTAGGCAATGGCTCTAAAATCTGTTTATGATTTTCCATTTTCGCTCTCAATGGACGGGATCCTAAAAAGGCCATGAATTTGTTTGTGGTGGATTTCTTTAATTTAAAAAACGCATTTTTAAATTAATTTTCATTGTTCGATATGATCACTTGATCATCTGTAAAATTTACTTTCTAAATTTAGCAACTGGGTTTATCTACTTTTTCCTAATCAGTTTCCAGCAATGCATTTTTTTCTGCCGAATACGTCGTTACATAACTTACTCTATTCTACGCGCATTACATAAGTTTCTCTAAACTACGTATATGATAAATAACTAGTGGTGCCACAGAATGGCACAGACTTTCCCGTATTAGTTACCTATTCCATTTGGTCTTGACTAGCTATTCGGACTTGCCAACTATCGCAGCTCAAAGCCGTTGCCTACAACACTCGACGTAGTAATCATATTCATCAGGTGACTGTATCAACAGTTCACTACAAAAAAAATCACACAATACATGTACATTATTTTACATCTTGCCAGATGATTAATTTCGATACAAAAGGTTAAGTCCCAAGTAAAATCTTTTCTGTTGCACAACTGTTTCTATACAATTAGACCGAACATACAAAAAGCAAATGTAATATTAATTTTAACTATGACATTTAATGTATTATATACCGTTTGGATTGCATAATTCTAAAGAATCTGTGACCCCCATCTCAATCAGGTTTTTGTCGGTTCCCTGATCCTCGAGCAAATGCTGAGGTGGCCCCTTGCTTGTTTCTGGACATAAATGTAACTTCAAATTAACTTCTCTCCATAGCACGGCACACCCAGTTTTTAACTATTTTTGACGTAAATAAATAAAAGAACTCTTTTAATTTCTTAATTTTTCGTTTTCCTAATTATAGAATCAAAATATTTTTATAATATTAAAGAAATATAAAACCTCGTCTTAAATGACAATTTTCTTTGGAAAATTTTCATCCGTTTTTCAGAAAATGGCGTTTAAGCGCAACTGTAAATTCAAAATTTGAAGCTCTTTTACAAAAAAAATTGAGTTTCTAAAAAAGTTGATAAGAAGTCGTTTGAAGCAATTTTAATCACGAATACAATAGTGTTTACAAATGTCTGGAAATGTGCATATCAACAGCGAGGGAAATCTTTAAAAAATTACATTTGTGTAATATTCAAAAAACGAAAAAATACACCAAAATAAACTCCACGTCATATTCAAAGGTTCAATTAGTACTATCCGTTCGAAAATTAGAAAAGAAATTGGAGCCATATTTTAGAAAATGGCGTTTGAGCGTTTCTGAAAATTTTGAATTTTGAGCTAGTTTGCTTAGAAAACTGTTGAGTTTTCGATAAACGTTATACTATGACATTATTTACAGCACATGTACTAATAAATACATTAATATGAACAAATTGTCGCTAATGAATATATTCAGTCAAGAGATAAGAGACAAGTCAAACATATTAGTATCCTAATTTTTGAAAAAGGAAAAAAATAGAGCAATATGGTGTTTGTCGTCTTACAGTGTGCTTTTAGCACTATCCTTTCCAAAAGTTTAAAGAAAAAAATTGCACCTGTTTTCAAAAAAAAAAATTGTTTTTGATATTTTTTATTATCGCAACTATTGCAGGTAATATTGCGCCAAAACTACTCAAGTTGTGAAAAAAAACGAATATGACCTTAATGGAAGAATTAATCATGGACAACGAATTTCAAAGAACAAATTTGGAGCCGTTTTTGAGAAAATTTTGAAAATGTCCCGGGGCTTCACGCAACGTTCCACCAAATTTTAAGAATGTTTTTCTTAATCTAAAATCTTCCATTAGAACCTGTTGAGAGTGCGAAATATTGCTTAGATGATTGGGACAGCATTTTCAGAAACTGCGACAAGAAGTTTTGTTCATCGCCTTCCTTGTTATTTGTCAGACGAGGAGATTCTGAAAAGACGACACGCAATCGACACGATTAACATCTTGGCGGAAGAATAATTAAGTATTTTAGTTATTGTATTGGATACCTTTGTCTGGACGAAAATAAACGTTCGCATAACAGATTCTATAATTTATTCACGCTTTCTGATGTTTTTTGACGTCTCAAAGTGCTGGTCACGTAGCCTGCATACCGTGCTAGGAATGCTTGCCAACGCACAAAAGCTACTTTTAGTGCGCCCAAATATTACTTTTTCTGGATGTCTGAAACAGTGCACGAATTCAGGTCGTCATTTGATGTGTAAAATGTAACACTTCTCAAGGAAGTTTGACAATGATAACAGACATTATTCGGATGGGCTCAGTGCCTAGTATTACAAAATGCGAATTTATGCTTCCACAGAGATGTATTCAATGTAAGTGTTGAACGGCACTTCTTCGCTTCGCAACGTTTATGGAAAGAGACCGTAACAACGTAACAAGCGAGGGGGAGAACTACAATATTGTTAATAAAAACTAACCTTAAATTCTCTCAGGAACCTATTAATTTACTCAGGAAGTTATTTAAGTGGGTTGGTGATAATGTGAAGAACATTACCTTTATATTTTTATGAACGTTGAATATTTAGAAAGTAGTATTGCAATAATATCATAAAAACAGTAGAATGCACAGAGAAAATACATTGTTTCATTTCTTAATGAAAAGGTCAATTAGCGATATTCTCTTTAAATTGAAGTAAAAGAAATTACGATTTATATATTGTAACACACACTGTTAATCGTATAAATATTCCGTCCGTGTAATACTAAATTGAATCCATTCGACCCTTTTTCATTTGAATTTAATCGACAAAGAAGGTATGTATCTTGCACAGAGTAAGTTGTGAAGGGATACTCCTTTTTTTTACTCTGTAAAAGGGCATTGATGGTAATCGTTTACTGCTAATTGGCACGTGCTTGAGGGGTGACGCTTTAGCAGACGCTTCAGCAAAGCAAAAAGTAGAGATTTCTATTATAATTAATATCTCTGAATGATTTGAATATCCCACAATGTAACTTATGAGATTTTTGTAGAACTTTTCAAAAATGACAATGATTTTTTTCAAATTTTAAAACTGTCGATTTTTGGTAGATATTAAAAGATTTTTTAAATAAATGAATTTAATACATACATCAGATGAAAGAGCATCTTTTGTTCTTTAACGTGGCAAAACATTAAATATTTGTCACAATTACATCAGTTACAAATAATTAACTTTAGCGGTGCGAGCCTTTTTTTCGAAAATTAATATAATTTCCGAAAAAAAATGAAAAACACATGCTTCATATTTATTCTTAGTCTTCGCAAAAAAAATTAAAAATCTCAGACATAATGGTCAAAGTTTCCTTAAATTTGAGCGATTGGACATGAAATCACCCAATTGGGATTCGATTTCTTTGTAAGTCCTCTTCACTTTTTTCCTTTTCCAAATTATTACTATTCATTTTACACTTTTCATTTCTTCTAATTAGGCTTTGTTTCATGTGTGTTATTCCATGATCATTATTAGCCTGATCAGCACATTGTAATAACGGTTTTAGTGCACCAACAAATAGACAATTTCTTAGATTTTATTTTTTCTATCTGTGGACATCACACATTTAGAGACATACCAGAACCTTTTTGAATACTTAACTTCTATCTTTCTTTTGTTGGATGTTAAATTACAATGAAAATTAATATTTTTTGTGAATCTTAACATCATCTTGTGAAAACTTAAATGTTATAGATTTATAGATATATTTAATATGATATAGATTTATAGATACATTTAATATCTGAGAATGATTTATTTGATAATAACAGACCTAATAATCCATCAGTACTTTATTTTTTACTTTCTCGTTCTTACTAACATAAGAGAAAGTACTGTAATCGTGAGCTGGAAAACCGAATTTTCGACACAAAAACTCTTTATTGCCGGGACCTGGCAAGGAAAACCCATATAAATCCAGTTGCTAAATATAGAAAAAAAATTTCTAACACCTGTTGTAGCCAGAATTCAAGATTTTTGGGTCCTAGATACTGATAAATCGATTGAGGGCAAAACTTCTGTCTGTCGGTCTGTCTGTGCACGCAACTCTAGCGCATAAACCGTTCAGCCAATTTTCTCCAAAATTGATATTCACGAATGGTTCTAGCTGCTGTCGCGGCCACTAGAATTTGAACCAATATTTTAATTGAGGGTGGGTCTTTACATGAAGCCCTTGGAATAATTTCAAATTTTCAAAAAATACTTATATTTTTTTTTATTACAAATTTTTGTATCAAAGTCATTTGTACAAAATTAGCTCTTTAAAAAAGATCACGTACATTGTTTTTGAAAAACGAGTAGTTTTTGCGTTATTTGCTATTCAAATCTATGAATTTCTTTTAAAAAACCGCTCCAAATTTTTTCTTTAATTTTTTTACTTATATAATAAAATATGGTTTTGGTCTCATTTTCGGGTATGGCTTGTTTTTTTAAACTTTTAAAACCACAAAACCAAAGATATATATTTTGCAGACAAAATATATTATATAAAATTAGGTCTTCATAAAAGATGATGTACACATTTTGAAAAAACTTAGTTTCTGCGTCATTTTGCAATTGAAATTCACAATTCCTTCACTCAAAAATCGCCCAAAATTTTTCTTCACATTTTCTCCACATATTTAATAAGGAACGGTCAGCAATATGCCGCTAGTCTTATTTTAGGGCATTGTTCGTTTTTTTTTAAATTTCAAAGAACATTTTCAATCAACAAATTGGTTGTTGTTTTTTTTCAAAAAGGCCACTGCCCACCACTGAACACCAGTACCGCCTAAACTTTGTGGAAAAAAGAGTTAAAAGTAGTATTTATTCCAAAATGGATATTCTCCGGCACATCAGACTCAACATGAGACGCTTCCATTTTGAAAACCTTTCTTCGAAATTTTGGGGTAATTTACACGAGGATCCCGAATTTTTTCAA